TCTGTCAGGCTTAGGAGATTTTGAAACTTAGCTGCGTTGGCAGTCTGCCTGTCACAGTATGGATAGGGCATACGGGAACAATGCTCTGATGGTACCCAGAAGTAATCCGGTAACAGCCTAAGTCTGGGCAGGTGTCACTGGTGTGCCTGGGTTACCCCGGCTGCTGCATCCCAGATCTTCACTCCGGAGCCACGCAGAGAGCTTAAGCTGTGCAGCTGCTATTACATTCTGTTCTGAGGCATGCTATTTGCATGCCTTGTGTAGCTCTTTAGCCACAGACAGCTCAGCCAGAGCTTTTTATCGAAGATGAATCATCCTTTCTGTCATGGCATAATCATGGATTTTTTGTTTCTGTCACTCGGGAAGAAAGGTGGTGGTGTCCCCTCCGAGTCGTGGCTGGATAAGCTGCTTTTGTTTCCCCACTCATGTCATGATCGGGGAGAGGGAACGAGCTGCAGAAGGATGACAGTTCCAATGTCGACTTGGCTTTCTTGGTGCCCTCCCTTCCCCCTCAAAAAGTCTGTGCTTGATAAGATGAGCTGCAGGAGCCACGGGTTTGCAACAGTACCAGCAGGATAAATATTTCTGTTTCTAGCTGATTTTAAGATGATTGGTATATGTTCCTCTCCTTTTTTTGGCAAAGGTTAGCCCCATTAAATGTACTGCTCTTCATTTCATCTTCTTCCATCTGTTCTGTCTCTTTTCAGTACAAACTGAGGAGACGTGGCTCCCACTCGGGCTGCCAGCTAGCTCTGTCTCCCATACACCAGAAAATATCTCTGTGTGAAGCAGAGCAGTGCCCCGCTGTGCACACACATCAGATTGTACTGTGAGGGCAGACGGCGCTTTCCCGAACTCCATGATGATGTCCTGTACCCTTGGTCAGCTCACACAGATGAGGGAGGGCCACTGTCCCCCTCAGTTAAGTGATGTTGATTCTCAGGCCTGAGCTAGGAGCCTTGGGAATGCAAACAGCCTTTTCCTCAGCAACCAGGTTATCATTGCACTAGGTAAGAAAAACAAATCTTTGTTTAAAATATTAAACCATGATACAGTGAGTAAATAAGGAACAGTGCCTGTAGATAAGGTATACAGAATTTATAGATGACAGTTATACAAGACCTATGTTTATCTGGATTATAAAGCCATAAAGACAGCAAATGCTTATACTGAAAAACTCTAAACTTTGCCTTGGAACTCACTGCCAAGTGCCCATTTCATTAAGAAAAAAAGAATCTTACTTACCAAGCTCGAGAGCCTTGCTTCATTTCCCTGACTTAAAGATGATTTCGTAGTGTCTGTATGTGGGAACAATTGCATGCCGTGAATTCTGTGTAGAGAGGAGCGGTATCTTTGAGAAAAGCTGTCTTCACGTTAATTCGTTTAAAATTACCTCTGCTGATATTTATTACAAGTAGTTATTTATTATAAATACTACATCAGGAGACTGCATATGAAGCAAGATGGTTCGCAGTGAAGCTGGTTTGCTTTTGCTTGGTTATCAGATCCCTGGCTTCTAACTTCTGGCTCTTACTTTTGACATCTTCTGGTCTCCTGATTTCCTATTTAGTATTAACTTCGAATAAGTAAAGTCACATTAGAAAGATTAGAAAGTGATTTTTATTCATGCTTCTTCAAACTTCAGTTTATTCTGACTTAAGCATTTTTAATGTTACACTGCGAAATATTTTACAGTCAACTGAATGAGATTACCAGGTAAGTAATAGTTTCCCAGATGACACATCCATTTTGCTAAGTTATGGGGCAGGGACATGTTCCCTCTCCATACGGTAGCAGCGAGGGGGATGGTGCTCCTGGCACAAGCACCTGTGATGGGAGCTGCAGACCTTTGCATTAGGGTGTGTGAAAGGATGTAGCCCACGTGCAGGGTGACCTTATCATTGCTGGAGACTCAGGCCAGGGCTCTGGTCTCGGCTCTCCTAGTGCGTTGCTGGAATACGTGTATTCTCACAGCCACGGCTTGGATGGAGGAGGCAGACGACAAATGGGAGATGCGATAAGAAAACTAGTATGCGTGTCCTAAATTTATCCGTGTGGGCATGGTATTTTAGCCAGTGATGTTATCATACCATGTAAGAGGCCAGCAGCTGTACCTCTGGGTCTGTTCTCCCAAAGAAGTCTCCTTAATGCTTTTTAAGTTATTAATAATTTTCTTTAATATTAATTGTTAATTGGGAGAATTTATTTAAAACCGCATGCTTTGGGTGCTGATTAATTTTTTTGACGTACTTTATTTCATGGGGTAGGGAATAAGTCCTCTGAGAAATGTTGTGTTTGGCAGCTAGCATAACTGACAAGAGGTTCTTAAATTTGATGGTATTCCAATATTATTCCAGAAGTGTCTTCCTCCCTGATTGCTACATGTGCTACACAGGGGGAACGATATTACTGTATTTTATTATATTACTTATTACTGTATATAGCAGTATATTACTGTGGGGAACCTGCTTGGCTGTTACATGCGTATAAGGTTCTGTTGGCATCTTAAAAGCTTTATGTGTAGATGAAAGCATTGCAGATTGCTGCATCTTGACTGATAGTTTGTGGTTTATCCTGCACAATGTCAACTCAAAACTACAGTATATTTCCACTATCCTTTTCATTGTTTGAGGGTAACGGTTACGAAAACCAAACAGAAAAGAAGATGTTTTATTCACATATTTTGATTTTAGAAGTACTTGTTTGTCTCAATAGGCAAATGTCTTTTACGGTGCGGTTTGCATTTGTATAGCAATGCTATTTCGTCAGACTGTTTCATAAGGTCACAAATCTCTTTGCAGTGTAGATCACGGCCCTTGAAGACTGGAGTTCTGTAGCAACCCAGACCCACTTTCTTGACGCTAGTCCTGCTAAACACTGCTGTGCTGATGGTCTTCAGACACTGAAGTGCTCTGCATGCCCTTGAATGGTGTTCCATAATTCAATGAGTGATTGGGTATTACTGTGCTATTGTCCTGGTGCATTTATATATTTATATCCCCTATTGCTTTCATTTTTCCTGGTGATTACAGAAGAAGGACCAGGAGTAGAACCTAGGCATAGGAAATCACATTCAGGAGTACCTAAGCAAAATTTGGTATAGATTTATATAGTTTTTGTTGTCTGAGATTTTAAAGAAAAGATGCACCTAGATCTTAGGAAAGCTCTTTTCAGCACACCAAGTGCTGATGCTGGTTCCAGTCAGATTACAACAGTAAGATGTTGTAACAGAAAAGCCTAATGAAAATCAGTAAAGGAATCGCAGCCAGTAATTGCTGATGAACTTTTATTTCATTCTAAATATTTTATAGACTTTTAGTAGTTTTAAACAAAACTGTAATGGCTTTCAAATACTAGGTTGGAGGATTTAGAGAGATTTCATAAAATGGTAAGTTTGACTTTTGGAAGGAAGGTATGATTTATATACAAGGTTTTAAATACTGCCTGCTGCCAGTGTATTAATTCAAAAATAATACATTTATGGTAGTGGGCACTAAGGAAAAAACAGAGCTATTGGATCTTCAACTTTGCATGGAGACACTGTTCAGGTTTTTGTCAAGGTAGACATATGCAACCTATGTAGGTGTGTGTAGTACAGATGAGAAGAGGCATTTTTGTATTTATATAAAACTCAAAGACTGAGGAGATGAGAAGTCATTCAGGTCTTTGAAACTAGATTATCCTCTCACTGCAGCTAAGATTTTCAAGCGTGTTTGGTGATTATAGGTAATGCAAATTTAAGATACTCTAAAAAGTGTAATCTTCAAAGAGATACAGTGCAACAATAAGGCTGAAAAGAAGCCTGAAAATAAGGCTGGTTTAGAGTGTTTGAAGTTTAGTAGCTCAAAACATCAACCATACCTCAAGATCTTGGTTTCTGTGTTCATGGTTATTGTTTGCAGAATTATATTGAGAGATTGAGAAAAAATGCCATTGAAATTGAAAATGGAACAGCATAAATATCATATATTGTGCTCTTAAGCATTTCTTTAAACTGGAAGGCTTGGATATGGGGAAGATGATAATGTATTCCTTCTGTTTCTTTCCCTGAGTTTCAGTATATTATGGTAAGTTCATAAGAACCTTCTCGAGCTTATCTTGTTGTCAACCTACATCTACAACTCCTTGCGGAAAGGAACATCTCTTTCTGAATAGTAATTTAATTACTCCAGTGCATTTGGATTCCAGTGGCTGAAATAATTTTCACCCTTAAATTTCCCAGACTCCTGTCTGAGGCACCATAGATCTTTATCCCTGCCTGTCTTGTCAATCTGGATGGGTTTTATCCCATATATTTTGTCAGGCCTGTGATTTAGTTGCTGTCTTTGTTTCCACCATCTGGAATCGTTTTTTTCACTCCGTTGCCTTTGTGTGGAACATAGATCCTTTAACTGAGCTCCACACAACTTCACAGTCACCCAGAAATAATGCCCAAACTCATGTCTTTGCACATTCCTATCATCCACCTACCATTTTTGTCTCATTCCTTCCTTTGCCAGATTTAGATAGTACACTTTCTGGAGAAAGTACTTGGAATTGCTTTAATCTTTGTGAAGCAATTTGGAAGATTGTGGAGCTCTATAACGGTTTGTAGTTAAGAACCTGATGGAAGGGTATGACCATTGTGTAATTTTTCAGGCAAAACACACCTAAAGCTAGGAATATTATTTCAGGATGAATTTTTGTGCCTGTGCCTATCACTTTGGAAGTATATTTAGAGGAGACAATAGTAAAAATAAGGCATTAAGAATGTGAAACTCATAGTACAGTGGAGATTGGTTTAAGTCACTGGAATGATGATAATTAATAACACCTAAGTATCAGTTCTCTGTTTTTTCTACAGAGCAGAAAAGAGATTCTGAAGTGGCAAGCTAGAACATAAGAAATTGGAAGATACACTCATGTTTGATCATATATTTCTACAGATGCCTCCGTATTTTTCAGTCTTCCGTTTATACATGCTGTAAATTTTTTGTTAAAAAAGTATATTTCTCTTTCAGCCATTAATGAATTTCCTGAAGATGTGTTTACAAATAAAGAACGGCAGCAAGGAGGGGTTCTGCTTCATATCATTGCCGTAAGTTTTTCTCTACTGTGCTTCATTTTTGTTTTCCTTTTGTCTTGTAAGATGTTAATCATCTTAATGGCCTTACTAAATAAAGCTCTGTCTACATCAACATGTTTCTGATACTTTGATTTCAGTGTTTCTAATAAGCCCAGATGGGTACAAATGTTCAAAAGGTAACTTCTTAGGGACCTGGTTTAGTGGTGGACTTGGTAGTGTTAGGTTAATGGTTCAACTCAATGATCCTAAGGGTGTTTTCCAACCTAAATGATTCTGATTTATTTAAGAAAATGATGCAAGCCTGAATTTGCAGTGCCTATACATCCATCCTGGCTGCATGGATCACAGACTTGTATTTGTTTCTATTTCATCTTGTATAAACAGGATTTGGGATTTCTTTGTTGATGCATCAACGATGGTGTGGAAGATTCTTGATTCTCTTTCTTTCCTATTGTGCCTCTATGCAAAAGATGCAATTGTAATTAAAAAAAAAACAGCCCTGAAGAAATATAGAAAATGTCATGGGGAGTTTTATATTTTATTGTAGAAAAACCCAAAACAAGTAAGGCCTGCGGACTCCAGTTTTCGATTGCCAGCTCAGGGAAAGTAAAGTAAAACGGAGTTGTGTATCATAGACAACAGCAGGATTAGGCCCACTGCCTGAGCACAGCAGATAAAGCCACATAAGAAAGTGGGAGAATGACATGTATGCAGGGAACCAGCGTCATTCCTGAGAGGTTTGGTGCAGTGAGCCGTGGTCAGGGTCTGCTTATTTCCACGTGTGATTATTTCTTGAGTATTGTTGATCAACATAGTGTTACTTTCTATTTAATTACTTGGTCCGATAATGAATTGAAAATATAGCTGATGACTACGTAACTCTGTAAGCCTTGCCCATTACTTTCTTTTATGTGAAATCTGTTGCGGCACCCTATTCTGTCAAACTGTCGTGCCTTTCATATTTTAGGGTCTGGCAAGCATTCTTGTCCTAAACTTAATCTTACATTCAAGAATCTTATTTTTATGCCATATATTGATCAGCAGAGTGATTTATATTTGGTATGGAATAAAAAATGGAGCTATATATTTCCACTAGTCTGAATAAATAAAGTATTACCTTCTTTCCTCTTCCCATGTACGGGAAAAATCTGAAGTATTTCCTGAATTTACTTTTTTTACAGGCTCTTTATATGTTCTATGCTTTGGCTATAGTATGTGATGACTTCTTTGTTCCATCCTTAGAGAAAATTTGTGAGGTATGTTAAAGAACTTTATTCCTTTTTTGGAAATTTATTTAGAGAGTATTATAGAATCAAATATTTTGTGCCATTGTTGTTTGGAGTTCATTCCTGTCACCTTTTTGGCCTCAGTCCTTTTCAAATGATTTGAGCTTTCCTTCAAAAAATGAACCTGTGGTCTGGGCACATTGATCCCCCTGGCCACGCTCAAGGAGAAAAAATGAAAGATTAATCAGATCAGATGGCAAAACCCACTCTTAAATACCTGCGGGACATAGCTTGGGTGGATATGGCATATGGGTGCGTTGTGTTTATTATTGTACTCCCAGTTTAAAAAGTCACTTGTGAACAGAAATGATACATAAATAAATTAATGTGTTGGCTATGCAAATTTTATTGCACAGCTACCACTGTATCAGCAAGGAGAAAGCAAGTGTATGTGGTCCTAGCATAAAGTGGAGAAAAGGGAGAATGCATGAGAAAAGTACATAACTTGGTTTGATATGGAACCAGAATACCTGTTACATGCAAAGAATAGTAAATAAATGTAATTCCTTTACACAGTTGCTGAGAAGACTCTGCAAAATTGCATTCAATTAATTCAAATTAAGCGAGTTGATCAGGACAGGGTAGGATACCTGGCATGTAAATGTTGTGCTAGGTAAGGCTTTGGTGAACTACTACAAAATGAATGCAAAATACAAAACCAGATTTTAATACCTTTTTGAGGGCAAGATGAACATCTCATCTCCTTTGCTTTTTAACAAAAGCGTGTGTGATCGTTTTCTGAAAAACTACTGTAGCTAGTTAAAAAGTCTATTTTCCTATGGATATATGTACTAAATTCCTATTAGTGTTGTACAAGCTGTGTACTTAGACTTATCAATAGAAGAACAAATAGAAGAATAAGGGAGGTGGCCAAAAATAGTAAAATCCTCAATAGGGATCTTTTCTGTCCCTTTTTCAGATGTTCTGTCCTCAGCATACACCTTATACACCATGTTTAAGTTGTACCAGTTGGGTTGTACCAATTAAGTTGTCACGAATCCTTCATAAAATCTTTGCTTCTTGTCTGATGTTCTGTTGAGCATTAAAATAGCCAAGAAGAATTCAGGTAGCACACGTAAGTTTGAGCTCCTACAACAGTATGATTGGCAATAAATCAAATGGTACAATAAGGGCTTGTATTTATGTTTTGTCAAGTCCTGTAGGATGCCATTTTTATCAGCTCAAAGTGTTGCACACTGCCTGAAAAATACAGGATTTCTGTGCTGGTCCTTCTGTCACTGATCACTTTTCTATCCTTGGAAGAAAAACAAGGTGCTAAAGATGAGTCTAGAGACTCTCACAAAGGAAAAAGCTCCTCCATAAAACCTTCTTTATAGTTCAAGGGAAGGATCTTCAGACAGTATTAAATTGATGCAGCTGACTTGTGGAGCTACACATGTTTCTGCTGGTCTGAGAACTCAGAAGTTATCTATATCCTATTAAAGCTTAAGAGACACTGTCATAAAAATAGATCTGTCTACAGCACACAGGCCTCTCTGTGTCTAATTGGACTAATTTTGTCTGTGTCAGTGGACTCACTTTTGATTAACACAGTTGTAAAGTGAAGCCAGGATCAGGCCTGCTGTTTGTGAGATTTATTCACAGAGGTTACATTTTTCTCTTACGGATTTTTATTTTCAAATTTTATGAGCCCCAAGAATTGCCCTTAATTCTTGAATGATTGTGTTTAGAGTTCCAAAAGTAAGTTAATGAAAATAATTTGAGATGTTTACGATCTTTTTGAACCTATGGAGATGCTTTTCTCTAATCAGCTACATGTAAGCCGCAACTGGCTATTCAGTTATATAAAAGTAGGTAATTTTATCTGACACTTCACTGAGTTAGGGTATAAACATTTTACTTGCCCAAAGTATATTTACCTTCTCAGAAGGCAGTGTCTAATTTTGTGTCATACTGACTGTTCATGCTTTAACAGCACTGTGGCCAGAAAATGAAGAGATTCTATCTTAGCAACTGTAGAACTGTGCAATGTAAATACAGTAACAGTGCTGAAATTACCAATGCTTTTCTTCCAGAAACTACATTTGAGTGAAGATGTTGCTGGAGCCACATTCATGGCAGCAGGGAGCTCCACTCCAGAACTGTTTGCATCTGTTATAGGTATGAAACCCACACACTAGCTTTTATGAGATCTGCTGTTAAAAAATCAGCAGCAGATCAAGCAGAGCTATCCAAAAGTGCTACCATTCTTCTGTCAATTTATAATCAGCAATTGCAGCTGTCAGCTAGTCTGTGGTTCATGGTATAATTAACTACTCAAAATATCTCATGAAACTGTGAATCTCCTCTCAAAACACAGAGAGGAATGGCTGATTCTGAACACAGGAAGTAAAAGAAGAGATTTATTGCAGTCCCCTGAGAGACAATTTGAGATATTTGATGCCTCTCTGGCTTCTTTCTTCACAAATAAAGAGAATTAATTTTAGCAAGGAAGTAGGAGAACGGGGAACATGGGAAAAGAACAAATTAATGTATAGATAAGTCAGGTCTGTTAAAGCCAGAAGGACATGGTGTGCATTACTTACAGAATTATTTGAAGTAATCTCTGAAACATTAAACATTATTGTTGTAGAGAGGAGGTCTAAATGGCAAAAGTAGTACCTATTAAGATTCATAGAATCTTAGAATAATTTGGGTTGGAAGGGACCTTTAAAGGTCATCTAGTCCAACCCCCTGCAGTGAGCAGGGGCACCTTCAACTAGATCCAGTTGGTCAGAGCCCCATCCAACCTGACTTTGAATGTTTCCAGGAATGGAGCATCTACCACCACCTCTCTGGGCAACCTGTTCCACTGTTTCACCACTCTCATTGTAAAAAACTTCTTCCTTATATCTAGTCTAAATCTTTCCTCTTAAAGTTTAAAGCTGTCACCCCCTGTCCTATTGCAACAGACCGTACTAAAAAGGGCCGTCTTTCTAATAAGCCCTCTTTAACTATTGAAAGTCCTCAATAAGGTGTCCCTGAAGCCTTCTCTTCTCCAGGCTGAACAACCTCAGCTCTCTCAGCCAGTCTTCATAGGAGAGGTGCTTCAGCCCCCTGATCATCTTTGTGGCCCTCCTCTGGACCCACTCCAACAGGTCTTTCCTGTGCTGAGGGCTCCAGAGCTGGATGCAGTATTCCAGCTGGGGTCTCACCAGAGTGGAGCGGAGGGGCAGAATCCCCTCCCTCACCCTGCTGGCCACGCTGCTTTTGATGCAGTCCAGCATATGGTTTGCTTTCTGGGCTGCAAGCGCACATTGCCAGCTCACGTTGAGCTTCTCATCAACCAACATCTCCAAGTCCTCCTCCTCAGGGCTACTCTCAACGCCTTCATCCTCCAGCCTGTATTTGCACTTGGGATTGCCCCAACCCATGTGCAGGACCTTGCACTTGGCCTCGTTGAACCTCATGAGGTTCACACAGGCCCACATCTCAGGCCTGTCCAGGTCCCTCTGACTGGCATCCCTTCCCTCCAACGTGTTGACCGTTCCACACAACTTAGTGTCATTGGCAAACTTCCTGAGGGTGCACTCAATCCCAACATCCATGGCACTAACAAAGATGTTAAACAGCACACGTTTGACCCCTGAGGATTGCCGCTTGTCACTGGTCTCCAGTTGGACATCGAACCATTGACTGCTACCCTCTGGTTGCACCCATCCAACCAATTCCTCATCCACTGAACAGTCCACCCATCAAATCCATATCTCTCCAATTTAGAGAGAAGGATGTTGTGTGTGACCATGTCAAAGGCCTTATAGAAGTCTGGATAGACGACATCTGTAGCTTTTCCCTTGTTCACTGATGTAGTCACTCCATCATAGAAGGCCACTAGGTTCGTCAGGCAGGACTTGCCCTTGGTGAAGCCATGCTGGCTGTCTTGAATCACCTCTCTGTCCTCCATGTGCCTTAGCATAGCTTCTAGGAGGAACTCTTCCATGATCTTTCCAGGCACAGAGGTGAGGCTGACAGGTCTGTAGTTCCCAGGATCCTCCTTTCTACCCTTTTAAAAAATGGGTGCAATGTTTCCCTTTTTTTAGTCACCGGGGGCTTCACCTGACTGCCATGACTTTTCAAATATCATGGAGAGTGGCTTGGCAATGACATCAGCCAGTTCCTTCTGGACTTGGGGATGCATCTCCTCAGCTCCCATAAACTTCTGTATGTTCAGGTGCCTCAGGTGGTGATGAACCTGATCTTCTCTTACAGTGGGAGGGACTTTTCTCCCCCAGTCCCTGTCTTGTGGTCCATCCACTTGAGAGGTATGGGAAGAGAGTTTGCTGGTGAAGACCAAGGCAAAAAAGTTGTTGAGTACCTCAGGTTTCTTCTCGTCCGTTGTTACCAGTTTGCCAGTCTTGCTCATTGCGGGCGGGGGGGGGTGGTGGTGGTGTACGCTTTCTTTGACCTTCCTTTTCTGGCTAACATGCCTGTAGAAGCCCTTCTTATTACTCTTTGCATCCCTTGCCAAGTTCAGCTGGAGATGCACCTTGGCCTTCTTGACCCCATCCCTACACAACCAGGCAGTGTCCCTATACTCTTCCCAGGACACCTGTCCCTTCTTCCACTGCCTGTGCATTTCCTTCTTGCCCTTTGGTTTGACCAGCAGGTCTTGACGCAGCCATGCTGGTCTCTTGCCCTCCTTTCCTGATTTCATACACCTGGGGATTGAGAGCTCTTACGCTCTGTGGAAAGCATCCTTAAAGATCTGCCAGCCCTGTTCTGCTCCCTTGTCCCTGAGGGCAGTTTCCCAGGGAGTCCTATTGACTAACTCCTTGAAGAGCTGGAATTTTGCTTTCCTAAAATTCAGGGTCCTGACTTTACTCTTCACCTGACCCGCATCCCTTAGGTATGTGAACTCCAGCAGTGCACGGTCACTGCAGTCACAGAATTCACAGAATTCACAGAATTCACAGAATTCTGCACCAATTAGCTCACTTGCTTTGGTAACCATCAGGTCCAGTATCACATCTCTTCTGGTGGGGCTGGCTATTACCTGGCTTAAGAAGTTATCTTCAGTGCACTCCAAGAGTTTCCTGGATTGCCTACACTCACTGTGCTACTTTTCCAGGAAATGTCAGGATGGTTGAAGTCCCCCAGCAGGACGAGAGCCTGCAAGCGCACTGCCTCCTATAGCTGGAGTAAGAAGGCTTGCATATAGGCTCTCCTTGATCAGGCAGCCTGTAGTAGACACCAACCACAAGGTTCCCTTTGTCGCCCCAGTCTCTAATTCTTACCCATAGGCTTTCAGCCTGCTTGTCGCTATCCTTCAGAGGCAGCTCTTCACACTCTCTTCATTTCTTGATGTAGAGGGCAACACCTCCACCGCTCCTTCCTCACCTGTCCCTTCTGAACAGCCTGTAGCCATCCATAGCCACACTTCAGTCCTGGGATTTGTCCCACCAAGTTTCAGTAATGGCAACTAGTTTGTAGATTTCTAGCACTACAGTGGCTTAAATTTGATAAAGAAGTCTTCAGTAAAGCCTTAGTAGGCTTTCTGCTACTATCCCGACTGACGTTTTTACCAACTTTAGGGAAATACAGTCTAAATGAATGTGCTATAACTTCACGTGCAACTTATTAAAAGCAGCGAGTGTAAGCCTTTAAGGCTCCCTTTAGTGAAAGATTTAAAGTACAAGTAGATACAGCTCTGTAGTACATTCACGTTGTCTTTGGTTCTGCCTCAGCGCTGCAGGCTACGTTAGATAATCCCTGGAGGTACACTCCAGCCATTAATTTTTGTCATTCTGATACAATTATGTTACAGATCTGAGGCATATGTGGCTTCAGTAAAAAGTTGGTATTAGAACAGGTTGATTCTGAATCCTGTTGTCTGTTCGAGTCAGAAGGCACACGTTACTGCACCCAAAGTGGCTATCATTTTTTTCGGGAAGAATCTCTTACTCCCATGAGACATTGCAAGGAAGAGCACACTAAATATTAAATACCTGGGAGAAAGGTTTTTGTGCTTTATTATACTGTTTGAAATAAATTCCATGCTCCTGATGTGACTGGAGATGGTTTATATACTCATTTAAATGGATTACTGTACCACTAACAACCAAGCTGTGAAATACAGGACTTACTGTTGAACTAACTGGCAAAGAAATCATTTACTTTTAATAAAAATATATATGTGGAGATGTTAAGCCAAAAATGGGGAGCTGCTAGCTAGACTAAAAGCACAAAATATTCCACAGAGAAGTGAGCATTTAGTATGAAACGTGTTTTGGTTAAACATTCAAATTGTCTCTTGTTCTCAGGTAGTGCATGTTCTAAGTAATTGCCTGTGACCTAAAATGAAACAACAGAGATAATAATGCATGTTTTGCTCCCTCTGCAGGAGTATTTATCACTCATGGAGATGTAGGAGTAGGGACCATCGTCGGTTTAGCAGTTTTCAACATCCTCTGCATTGTCGGTGTCTGTGGGCGTGTCTGTGGACTGTTTGCAGGACAGGTTAGTAAGATACTTATGGAGTAAGTATGGAGTTCATATCTTTATGGAGTTCAATTATTTACAATTCAGGGGTTTCCATGAGAAAATATAAAAAAAAAAAAAAAGGAGCTTAGTTAAAAAAAAAAAAAAAAGAGCTGGCTTTGTGAAAAATGTCAAATGTTGGAAAGAATTTACAAATCGTTTACAAATAGGTGTAGTTTCAGCACTCTGCATACAGAGGAGACTGGTTCCTCTTCATACAATACTGTGTTCACAGTCAACTGTATCAGTGGCATCTGCTAATCCTTCCTGGTACTGGTGGTGATCAAAGAATTTAGAACACAAGCATGAGATTTGCTCCATCTACTCACTAGGTGGTTAGACTGTATCATATTTTTTCAGGTATTAAGTCCGATATATCCACAACTATAATGAAGTGGGAACCATTGATTTTCTGCAGTACAATGAATTATACTTTACAATTGAAATTATGGCCAATTAAAATATCATTAGTTAAAAATATATTTCATTAATGGAAGTTTCTATATGATTTTTAGTATTGGGTTATTATAGATCCATTGTCTAACAGACTGATATGTCTTCCTGTTAGCATAAACTGTGACTGGTTCCAGAATCGTTGCTAATAATAATTCTGCTCACACACCTAAGTGATTGCAAGATGAAGGCCTATGTTTTGTCTTTAAAATCCCTTATTTTTGTTGGCTGAAGGTGTGGTGTTTTTCAGGTGGTTCGTCTCACCCAGTGGGCTGTGTTCCGGGACTCTGCGTACTACACGATATCTGTGATCATACTTATTGTTGTAAGTAGTTCTCTTACCAATTACGTGTTTCGTTGCTTGAATTTTTGGAGAACCAGTCTTCTAACCATTGATATACACTAGTAAACAATTCTTTTCCTAGCTAGTTCTAGTGACAGCTGGAAGTGAGCTCCACAATATGGTCCAAATATGAAAGCTTCAGAGAACCCCACAGAATACATGTCCATCATGTCCGTCAGTGTCCATTCGGTTTGTACCTACAGTCTGTAAGGTTCTGCGGGGTAGCAGGCTCCTCTTAAACAGTGCAGTTAGCGCTCTCTTCTGACCTAGGGGACTGCTCATTGTGCAAATGAAAAATTTTGAGTTGCACCTCTATTTTAAATAGGGTAGGCTGTTTCTTGCTTCTACACAGTAATTTTATTTTGCAGATTCTGGGTAAATTGTTCTAAATAGAGCACAGGTGAGATACAACTAGAGCAGTGTAGTAGTTCCTGAATGGATGCATTTCCTTGTCTGGCAGCAAGGAAGGGAAGAATCCGCTTAGTTTGTTTTGTAGTAAATACGGATCACTAGCTGCCCCTTTAGTTACAGGAGTTACATAGGGTGGAGTAAAATGTGTATAACCACTTGGCCTAAGAGCAGAAGTAAAATGGTTGCCTTTCCTGCTAAAACTGGTCTAGCTGTTAACAGGACTCAGAGGTAGGTCTCTTCAGAATACATGACTTCGCTGTCTTTGACATAGCACAGCGTGTGGGTACGTGTGTAAATACCTGTCTGTCTGCACATGCTCACACTGTTTTACTAAATAGTATTTGTAACAATCACCAAGAGGGATCCAAGCCTTGGTCACAAGGTTTGTGCTTTGTGAGGAGTACAGTCCATACAGTGAAAGTTCTGCTTAGAAAGGGTCAAAACTTGAGTAGCTTCTGGCTAGATATGACTGATATTTATTAAATAAATATGACTGTTTTTCAAGATAGATCAGAGAAATGGTCAATTTATGTGTGTGGTGTTTTTTTTTTCCCTTCTTCTAGTTCATATATGATGAGAAAATAGAATGGTAAGTTGTGTAAATTATTCCCTGCAGTCCCGTATTTGCCATGAGACTGATCAGTAAATAGAGTTGCAGTGTAATTAGCTTTCATTCATGCACACTGAGAGTATGAGCTGGATTTGACACCTAGGAAATCCTGTGTATTTTCTTTGGTTATATTTTTTATGATGATCAGGGAAAACTAAAAGAAAATTTAAGACCCCGGAAAGGGAAACATTGACAAAGTAAATAGGCTGTTATGTAAAGCCTGAAGACTCACATGTGCGGAGAGGGTAACCAAAGTTCTGCTGCTCTGAATCTGGCTGGTAACATTTATGGGGATGCTGGGTGCCCCAAAGAACAGTCCAAGGTGGGATCCTAGTGGAAGATCATAAGCATCCTCTCAGGGTGCCTGGCCTGTGCTTCAGCACTGAAACGACAAAAGGCCCTGGCATTATGACCCTCAGAGGGTAGCTATGGTTTCAGTCTGCATAGCACATTTCTGAAATGTATGCATTACATTTTATTTGCGTGTTTATTGGAACATGAGAGTCTGCTTCCCTCCCGTTCTGCTGAGACACCATCAAATCTTAATGACGTGAATCCTGTGTACGCAAATGTGACTTGTACTGGATATTTAATGCACACTCCTACGTAAAACTTGTAAAGCATACAGCTGTTTGAATGGCCTTTAATACTTTTTTTGTCTCTTTGAGGTGGGAAAGCCTTGTACTCATCATTATGTATTCATTCTACATACTTATCATGAAGTAAGTGCTTTTCTCCTCCGTATGCTCTTTAGGTGTTAATTGACCGTCACTCTTTTGGTGTGGTTTTGTCCTCGGCCTTCCTGCTGGGGACAATACAGACAGTCATGTTTCTGTGTAAGATCCCTTGCTTTTTTATGCTTAATCAGTTTCGCTTTAAATTTGTGCTCAGTCATCAGCAAATATTTTCATAAATCCTTTTCATAGTGCACTGAGCTAAAGTAAATTTCAGAAATAGTTGAGAGAAAATGTCATTTATACAAAGATACATGAAAAAGTCCACTGGGTACTCTGGATTGTAAGCACACAGCATGTCAGTTATTACACGTATTTTGTAATCTCTGAAGAGCAAGATCGAGGAACGTTAGACAGGCTACTAAGCGTGTATTGATCTTCAGACCATGTCATACCAGATTGTATACTGACATCCTTCTTCTGTAGTGTCACTGCCTCTGACTTACTGCTAGGGTCTGTGAGTTCACCCTTCTACTGAAAGTTGCTTAGACTTACCCCTTGGTGCCTTCCCCTCACAAATTACCTCTTTTGGAACTTCAGCCGCCCTTTTCTCCTACATCGGGTCTTAGGAGAGTTCATCGACAGCCCTCTTAGATCACACCCTAGTGCTATAGATGCGTTCTTTCTTTAGAAGGGTATGGTCAACGGGGCCAGAAATACTCAGTCACCTGCCATGGGGAACACAGTACTGAGAGAAACAGTGAGGTGAATTGCGAGCTGATGCAGGAGGAAAGAAGCCATTGTACAGCTCCACAGCTCCAGTGTTTTACCTTCACTAAATCTGCTCTAGTGCCCTTTTGCAATTTGCTGTATCTCATGAGAGAGGTGCAGCCCTTGCTCTCCCATCAGCTTGCCACTGAATTGGATGGTCCTTTCTCTTAACTTCCTGTCGGTTGTCAGAGAACATGCATCTAGGCTTTACTGCTCACTTGCATAAGTTGGTCTCAGACGCTTAAAATTTTGATGAGGAAACGCAACAATCCAACATTTTCAGACCTTTCCTTTGCACTTTCAGGTACAATGCGAGGATGCAAAGTTTCTTTAGCCTTAAAAGCAAGAATGTCGGAAATGGTGACACAGTCAACAATGAGATGGAAGATGGTAATAAATGTTATACCTCTAGTTGTGATGACCCGTCCATTCCATTACTATGCAAAGGTAAGGCTGAGCAGACAGGACTTGGAAAGAAGTAGTTCACAGGATATCCTTTTTTTTTTTTCTTTAATGCAATCGAAACAGTTACTGTTCAATTGTAAGCAGGAATTTTTATTGGGTTAACTTGACAACTCAGCAGTCAGACTGCCGGATAGAAAAAAACCAACCAAATTTTTTTTTTGATATTCTGAAAACAAGCTGCTTTGCACATTGGCAATTTTGCTCCCTTCTGATCTCCTGTTCAGTGATGAGCTACAACACTGTGAAAGAAGTATTTTTTTTTGCCAGGAAGAAGGTAATTTTCACTTCAAAAATTAGATTGGAACTGAGACTTGGGTGTTGAAGGAAAGGACATGGGCAGATCAGTGGGCAAGAGGGATTACATGTTGAGTTCAGATCCTCAGAAGACTGGCTTTTATATGCCTAAATAGGTCTGGATACTTTGCCAAGCACATATGTAAAATTGAGAAATGCAGGTTCTTTGCTGTCCGTGTCTTTGTCATAAAGGGGAAGAAGATGATACCCAGCTTCTGGTACTGAAGGTAAGCACATATGCCTGGGTATTTGGGGCTTTTTTGTAAGCCTGTTTTTACCATTGTCTTACCCTCTTCTCTTCCATTCCCTCTTTTCTCTGTAGAGCAAAATCATTCCTACCTTCAAAGCACAAACCATATAATTTAGTGAGCTCTTGGGCTACTCTTAATGGGTGAGGTCTTCTTGCTTTATTCTTTGCAGACATCTCCCATTCTAGGAGACTGAGCTGAGCAGCAGTGTAGGTAGCATTTGGAAAGGTCCTGATGTAATGGAATTCAGGGCAGGCTCAGAGAAGACCACTCTTTTCTGCTTTTAGTGTTTAGGCTGGGATCTCTTCAAGGTGCTGTCACTTACTGCAGGTTTATGCAATGACAGCACACTGATATTCTGGTCTCAGATGTCAAACTATGTTTAGACATAATTTAACAGAGATTTAAAATTACTTCTCATAGGACATTGTAGCATAATTAAATGGAGATGTCTTTGAAATTCTTTGATCTCATTTTACAATTAATTTTTGTGAACATTAACTATGATATAGTGAAGTCTGTCACTTGGATGTGGAGGTACATAAATACAAGGTTCAGAGGATACGTCCTAGGGTATCCTCCTCCAACCTGGCCTTGAGCAACTCCAGGCATGGGGCCTCCACAACATCCCTGGGCAATTTGTTCCAGTGCCTCACCACCCTCATAGTGAAAAATTTCTTCCTAATATCTAATCGAAATCTCCCCTCTTCCACTTCGAAGCCGTTCCCCCTTGTCCTATCAATATATGTCCTTGTAAAAATTCCCTCTCCAGCTTTCCTGTAGGCCCCTTTCAGATACTGGAAAGCTGCTATAAGGTCTCCCCTGAGTCTTCTCTTCTCCAGGCTGAACAACGCTAACTCTCTCAGCCTGTCCTCATAGGAGAGGTGCTCTGATCATCTTTGTTGCCCTCTTCTAGACCCGCTCCAACAGGTCCATGTCCTTCTTATGTTGAGGACTCCAGAGCTGGGCGCAGTACTCCAGGTGGGGTCTCACGAGAGCAGAGTAGAGGGGCAGAATCCCCTCCCTCGCCCTGCTGGCCACACTGCTTTTTAATGCAGCCCAGGATGCAGTTGGCTCTCTGGGCTGTGAGCGCACATTGTCAGCTCATGTAGAGCTTTTCATCCACCAGTACCCCCAAGTCCTTCTTGGCAGGGCTTCTCCATCCCTTCATCCCCCAGCCTGTATTGATACTGGGGGTTTGCCTGACCCTGCCCTTGGCCTTGTCCCTTGGCCTTGTTTAACCTCATGAGGTTCACATGGACCCACTTCTCGAGCCTGTCCAGGTCCCTCTGGATGGCATCCTGTCCCTCAGGTGTGTCAACCATACCACACAGGTTGGTGTTGTTGGCAAACTTGCTGACGGTGCACTCAATCCCAACATCCATGTCAGCAACAAAGATGTTAAATAGCACTGGTGCGTCCTCTCTAGCCACTGTGTGGTAAAAGTGATGATAGCACAGAGAGCTATCAGAGTCCACCTATTTCCCTTTCAGGAAATGTGAAGATTATTTAATGCTTGTGAAGAACATGCAGAACTTTTAGGAAAAGGAGCAAGAAAGCTAATAAAAACCTGTACTCCTGAGAATGGTGTCTCCACTAGCAACTGTCCACAGCAAATTTTTTCTTATTTCCCTCAAAGATGCACTGAAACTGCAGTTTCAGTCAGATTCCCTTTGCCTTCTCCAGCACCCATTACATTACTACATGCTGCATTGGAGGGACCATTGTTCAAAGCATGAGAGTGTAGATATTAGCACAGGCAAACCTACCTGGGATGAGGGAGGAGATGAAGAAGAGATTAAGGAGGTGACAGGGTTTGAAGTGAGCAATGGGAGAGGAGGATGGCAGTGTTAGCCGAACTGCTTTGTAGATGGGTGCTTTACGTGTCAAGAAGCTGTCCTAGAAAACCATCGCATGGCTGCCTGTTGCATCTCCCTCCTGTTGAGTCAAAATATGCCATGACCTGTCAGTGACTCCTTGTTATTTGACACTTGGGTGGCTTCATAAGCTGAGCTGCACCAGCACCAGCCACTTGCCAAAACAGGAGCACTGCTAGTAGCAGGGGAGAGAACTAGAGCAGGCATCTGCCTTACCTCCAGCCAGTGGTTAGCAAGTTTCAGGATCCACCAAAAAAACTCCCTTGGCTTCACCAAGGTCTAGGTCTAACAATCTGATTTTCCACAGGAGGAAAGTCTGATTACTTCCCCAAAAATATCAGTTGCTTTGGGTGAGGAGCTTTCTTCCTGCCAAGGATGGTTAGTCTGTTGCTCAGGGTGCACATGCTGCACAGCTCTTTTGTGCTTCTAAGTTTTATTACTTTTAAGAGCTTCAAATGGTACAATATAAAAGCTTCCATTACTCAGGTCTCAGAGGGAAAAAGAAGAGCTTTTCACCATGGGATAAATTCAATTTCAAGGGCAAGTTCTACACACACAGGTGAAGGCGAAATATTTGTACTTCGTGAATAGCACTCCTATTTTAAAAGTACAAACATGGGGCTCGCTGCCTGTGGCTTTTATTATGTTGACCCAAATTTCCACCAGGTGGCATGGTTCGATTCCTGCCTAAAACCAGAAACTTGAAAAAAAGTGGTTTTCCGAGATCCTGACCAGTAGTCAGCTAAAGTCAGCAAGAAGCTTTCTGTTGATTTTGACAAGGTTGTTGGTGACGACCCTTTGCAGTGAGCAGGAAGTTTAGGTAGTTTGTTAAAAGGAAAAGCTGTTTTCAGAAGATATTTTTCTAAGGAGTATCGCAAAGGAGAAACAAAAACACTTTTCCATGTCTCACACATTTATGAAAACCATTTTTGCAATTTTTAGGTGGACCCTGTTTATACCATATGGGGCAAAGGTATGTATGTTAGGGGCATATGGAGTGAGACTGAAGAAATGTTATGAAAATGTAAGACCGATGTGCTGCAATAAGTCAAAACAGCTGCAGTTAGTTATACATATTTATAGTGATGTATTCTACATGAGTTCTGGGTCTTTTATCATGGTATTTCATCAAAGCTGAGTATATTTGGTCACTGTCTCCTTAGTCCTCATTGAAACAGTTCCAGCACAACTGCAGCGCCCCCATGTTTTTCATGACAATGTAAATACAGATGCACTTTGGAGACTTCACTGGAGAAACTCACTTGAGAGCAGTTAATCCAGTGAAACTGTTCAAAAGATATCTGGCCTTTTGGCCTTACCAGGATTGCTGTCAACCATTTCTTTTTCTTTGTCTAGCTAAAGCAAATGTTAAGCCACTCTGGTTGAGTCGTCTTCTCTAGGATTGGTTCCCAGGTAGCCTCTTCTATGGGGATTGGTTCGTAGGAATCTTGTCTGGCTATATATTCCTTCATAGAAAAACTGCTACTCCTAACTGTAAAAGTCATTGGAATGGATGTGCTCCTTATTTGCGTCATCAGCTACGGTACTCAGCAAGGTTAATTTGTTTTAGATGTCCGGGCAGGGGGAGGATAATTGCTGCTTTGTGTTTACCAAATGCAAAACTGCTACTAGTTCTATTCTCCATTAGAGATTCTAAGCTGCAAAACAAGACTACCAGGTGGATTCTTTGAGTAAGGCATATTTCTTTATGAAACCCAAGATCTCTTTATGACACTTCAGGTGACCCTGGTGTAGTCATTGAAAACTCATTTTAGTGAAACAAAGCAAGACGCTCAAATGCCACAGGGTAAAAGATATAGCTGTTTACTGGTGATTTACAGGCTTGCTAGGTTTTTCTTGTTGAACAATAATGGAAGGATATATTTCTTCAACTTCAAATGTGTTAGAAGATGCTTGAGACTGCAAAGCCTCTTTTGCATGATGGGATTTACATGCATGCATGGATCCAGTTTTCTTCCTGAAAATATTTTTAAAGTATTTCAACATGGTAACAATGCAAGAAAATAACAATATAGATTTCTGTGTGTTTAGAACAGGTCCATTTTAATTCCGTTGTTTGAGTTGAATGTTTTCTTAGATTTCCTTTGCTTCCTGACTGGAACCATGCACTAATAATTATCTTTCACTTCTACCTCCTAAATTCTCTTCCTCTTCTTAATGTAAGTAACTTAATGCAAAAGGGGACTGGGAGGGTGAAGCCAAGCTAAGCAAAGCAGAAAACAAGCAAGAAATAATTTTGTTGGGTTTTTTTCCCATACATATTATTAATATTTTTATATATATATATATAAATAAATAATATTTATTACAGTCATATGCATTATTTCCTGCCCTGCTTTCTAACACCACATGGGTACGTCTCCTGTCTGCTGAGCCTTGCTCTGCTTGCTATGTGTAGTCTGTAGCATTTGTGAGAATATTGGTCTGTTGTTGAGCTCTTAAAGTCGTTGCCTGTACTTGTGTTGATTCCCAATGTAATTTTGTCTCTCTGTGTTCTTAACACGGTAGAATAAACCTCTTAACCTTGGTACAAGTTCCTTTATATTAACAAAGGCTTACTTATAACATACATTTGTTCTTGACAATTGTTGTTTTGCATTATTTCAAATCTCGTCATGTTAGAGATACTGATACTATTCTGTGAAGGTAAAGTGAAGATTTGTAAAAGGAGTGGGCACAACATTAGGGACTTCTGGATGTGCAGCTCCTTGATCCTAGTGGGATAGCTTTAGAGGTTTCAGGGGCGCTGTCTACACTGCCACAGTGCAAGTGCTTTTAGAGAAGGCTTACAAAACTGTAGTGGGACATAAGCAAAGAAAACTGGTACTACAGCATGAGGAAAAACAGCTCCCACTCACCTGAGAGTGGGTTGGTGGCTACCTTAGCAGAGTGAAATCCCTTTTCAGCATGTGATCTGACTGAAGTGCACAACTGATGAGCAGATTCACCAGGCTGCAGAAATATTATAGGAAAGTCACTTGAAAATTCAAGTATTCAGATGAATATTATCCCCACCTGCACCTGAAAAGAATGACTCTGGGTGATGGGAAGCATGGTAAGATCAATTCCACAACTGACTCTGTCCATTGTGATCATTAGTGAAGGGGATGCAGCAGTATGGCAGAAACAGTGTTGTGATGGTGGATGAGATCATCTGCTCCAGTCCCCCCAAATACCGGTTCCCTGAAGCTGGATTACGGATTATGATTACAAATAAGTTTGGACCACGCACCAGAATGCGGATGGCAAGCCGACTCATCATTAATGAGGTAGGTTCATTAAGAAAACAATAAATGACTGTGAGGCAGAGGGGTTGCCAAAGAGCCATGCTCATAGTGATTTTGGAATTCAGATTCTCCCATGTTCCTAGGGATGGGCTAGAGCTGTGTCTTTCTCTAGAAGCTATGCCACAGCAGATTTGAAGATGGATTCCCAATTGGTGATGAATGCCTGTCTTAATGGGAGGACAGTCACCAAGGAAGGACTCCCTTATCTCCCTGCCAGAAGACGTTTGTTTCAGTGTGTATGTGTGTGTGTGTATGTGTGCACATTTGGATTTTATCTGCAGCAGAAGAATTGGTTTTGATCATTACAACAGTGGTCAAACTAAGAAAGGATAATGGACAGGGCAACCAAAAATCTGTAAGAACTGCTCTTATATTAGCAGCACATCAGGATCACATAAGATATTTGCTTGCCTCTTTAGTCTTCAGTGTAGTCCTCAGCTCAAAATGAAAATGGACCAAAATACTTTCATGAGTGGAATTTGCCCTGGACAGTTTCCGTTAACTCTTACTTCATGTATTGTCACCACCATATATTGCTTCTTTCATAGCCTACAGCTGAAGTGACAGGACTGGCCAAATGATGCTGTTCTGAGCTTGTATCAAGTACCTGAGGTGAAATCTTTGGCCTGTCAACCTTGGCTTCTATGGAGGCGGGATTTTATCCTTTGCTCCCTACAGTGCCAAATACGAGAGCTTTTTACTCTGACAAATAAATTGATTTCAGTAGTTTAGGAAATGCAAGCTTTAGCAAGCTCCTAGAATTTGAACATTGTAACACAGTTGAGGTGTCTACCCAGGACTGTGAATACCCCAATGAAAGAAAGCAACACTAATACATTTGTAACAAAAGTCCAATTTAACAGTAAAACGGTGAAATGCTTGTTAGGAAGTCGGCTTGGTGGCATACAGTTAAGAGCAGAAGATCAGATAAGGCACGTAGCAGCAGTTGACTCTGTAAAAGTTCTGCTTTGAAAGCAATTCATTGATCAGAAACATCTTTCTTAATGGGTATGTGCACAGAGAGCTGATACTTGCTAGTTCAGTGTCTGCAAAGACCATTCTCTAAACCAGAGTATTTTGGTTCTATGTTCTTATGTGTTCTTACTGCCAAACTTTTGCAAAGTATTCAGATATGAGTTTCCTCTCTTTTTAATTACGGTGTATTAATACTAGTTTCAAATTTTTTTGTGTGTGTTGTGCAGTTACTTTGTTTTTCAAGGCATTTCAGAGCACTTTTTAGGAAGTTGCAACAATTTGTCATAAAAAAGAGAACACTTACTAACCCTGCATTATCTCATCTAACAAACTAAAATATTTCTTTTTTTATAAAAGTAGGAAATCACTGTTAAATCTCACATTCTCCAGTGTATTAATGGGTACATATACCGATGTTTAAAACCTATCCTTGTAATTGTTGTACTATGTTTTGGAACTATAGCCATCTTATACATGTCTGCAGGGGCAGTTATGAGCTTCATGAAAGTATCTACTCAGACAAGGGCAACAGGGGTTAGTCTTGCTTTTGAAATTTTAAGTAGGACCTTTACATTTACCTCAAGGAATGGCAATGAGAAGGAGGGAAAGGAGTGGGGCCTGAGTAGGAGAGATCCTGGGTAACGAGTCATTCATAAACCAAGTCTATTAGTGTGGAAATGTGTTGAGTGTTACCACTAGGTTATGGTGCTGTTGCTGGTTTGAATGGGAACTGTAGAGTGAGAAGTTCTTCAGAATAACACCACTTACTAAAACATGGTGTGGAAGAACAGATATGACAACTTTCTTCATCGTGGCTTGAAAAACTCCTGCCGGTAATTTTGAGGTGGATGGTCAATGCTCGCCGTCGCCTGACAGGTAGGCCATAGACAGATTTGTTTGTTGCTGACTGGAAGGAAGGCTTTGTGGAGAAATATCACAGCTTACGTCACTGGGGCTGGATAGACAGCAAAACTCAAATTTAACAAAACCAATATTTTCCAAACTATGGCAGTTTTGTCTTTGACACTGTGCAGCGTCAGCGGTTAATCCAATCTGCCAACGGCTCGAGCAAACCACTTCAGAATGGGAGACATCAGAATATTGAAAATGGGAACATCCCTGTGGTGAACCAAGAGGAGGAAAATGAACAGGACAATCTATCTCCCTTTTCAGTGCCAGGTAAGGCTTACTTTCCAGGTTTTTGTGTAGGGCAACAGAAGATAATTAAAATGCCAAACACTGGGTTGTAAGAAAAGACAGCACATGTGGGGAGAGAGGAGCACGGGGATTGATTTGGCTGTCTGAAAGCTGGATTTAATGACAGTAAAACTGGGCTGGAGGCTAAATGGCTAAAAGTAGATCCAAGGGAAGTGTTTTCCAGCCATCCTGCACAATAATGGTAAAGTGCTGCTCAGAGGCCGAGGGAAAGCAGGTAAGGCAGGTTTATATTAAAAAACATGTCAGACCAGCCCAGTAAGTACTGCATTGGTAGTAATTTTGAAGTCAGCATTTAATAATGCCCTGCTGGAAATTGCTAGGCCAGAGGCAGCAAGGTGTATAAATATATAACAACTTGATTTAGTGACTGTAGGGGAGGCTTCTTGGATGAAGAGGAGGAAAGGTTGAGAGGGAGAAAAAGTGTTCAATATCTTTCACAGTGTTTAAAATTCATGGAATAGCAGTATGTAATAATATTCACCTTCTGAAATTTTTTGGAAACTCTTTGGTGTGAACAGCTATATATAACTAACGTTATTATGTTGGTGCCCTTAGCACATTGCAGGTTAACTCTCCCCCAAATGCTTTGGAGATAAGATAGCAGAGATTAGATCACACCTCACAGACATGAAGTCAGTAGTCATCTGTCACACAGTTGCTGTTTAACACAAATATTACTTGGCATAAATGAATGTCACATGCAGTGAGAAAGAAGGAAGAATTTTCCATGTTGGATATGATTCTAATTTCTTAGAGATCCTGTTGCTTCAGTTGCTGTCATTTTAGAAGAGGTGTTTGTGACTGAACAAACATTGAAGCACACTCTGTGAGAAACAGATAAAACCGTATGTTTTCGTATGTGACTGTACTGTGTGCTCTTACAGGAGCTTCTTGTAGTCAGCAGTTACGGACTTTCATCGGGGGTGACGAGTGGAAACAAATGGATTCACTGAAGATAGGCCCATTAGATGGGCTCCTGATAATCAATGAGATAGTGAAAAAACTGGTTTTATTGTATGGTGAAATAAGTGGATCCAAATCAGCAATATGCTTATGCATATGGACATGTTGTTAATAATAACAACAACAACAGTAACAGTAATAACTGTAACTTCTAAAGAACAAAAATGCCTCCCCAAACCATTTTAAGAATGCAGGACTCAATGCACATGTTGGCAAAGGAGATTTTTAAACTGAGTTGGTTTTAACAAGTTTTTGGATTCAAATTTTAATTAGGGCAGTGCAATCATGCGTTTCTTCTTGCATTCTGGGACTGTGCAGAAAACTTCAAATATGGCAGACATTACCTGGAGGCCAAATTGCCGTATTTGGATTTGTTCAAGACTAAGACAACTTCTTTATGAATAAAAATATAGATTTTGGAGCAGAGCTTCCTAACTGTGACATTCACAGTAGACGAAATGCTTTGAACTAAGGAGGGAGTTCTTAGTTGAGCCATTGGCCTTTTTTAAATGCAGTTTTTCTTCATTTTTAAGAAAGTCTTTAAAGATAATTGAGGTGTAACAGGCCAAATTGAAACCACTGATGATACAGTTCATACTGGAATGGAGCAAAAGTTCAACATGAATTCAAAGAGTTTGCGTAAAAGTGGTAAAGCGATTGTTTAAAATCCTCATCGTTATCTTCAGGTTTTGTTACTCCTCTGTTGTCTGGAGATGCTTATCTATTGGTTGGATTGTCATTGCTCAACTCATATATTCTGAGGGAGAATTCTTTTATTTTTGCTTTCAGAAGCACCACTTTAATAACTTCGGAGAAAATGTGAAGAACCAGCATCATGCTTTGTTGGTGTTTAAGTACTGTGGCACAATCAGTAGCCTAAAAAAAATCCTGACATTTAAAACTGGCTTTAGGCAAAAGGTTGCTTCCAGACAGTTTCCCAGAATCCCCTCTCTTTCACTTTTGATATATTTTTGGGCCAGGAATAAGGCACATACATTTTCTAAAGATCAGAAGTTCATGTATTCTTTCAGTACTATAAAGAGCTGTACGAAGAATAGGCTTTCACTTTTCAATAGGGCTTTCCAAGTCAACTGCTTACAGTGTGCTAAGTGGAAAATTCACTCCGGTATTTTGAGAGCTGCAAGAAAAATGGCTATAAATTGGCCCAAACCTTTTTTTCTGCTGTCCTATAGTCACCTTTTTTAGCCTAGTATGGGGTTTGACTTTGCTCCTTCAAAATGTGTATTCTAGATCCTTTTGCAAGTACAAGTTTTTTCTGAAACAGAAATAAATGTAAGTGAAATTTAAAGCACTGCATCATCTCTGAGTGATTCCCAGTAATCATTTGCCATCTGTAAGTTTTTTGCTTATTGTTCTCTTTTATCCTCTGTCAATGGCAGTGCTCAGCAGTAAATGTCGGGCTTTAGCACGCAGAAATAGAGAAAAAAATCATTACATGAAAACAGTCTCAAACTACAGCATTCAGCCTAGATCCCATATGTCAGACATCCAGAGAGATTCACCCCCGGGGTGTGGTTCAGGTCCGTCTTGAAACAGGAGGCAACACGTAGTTTTTATGGAAACTACATATGGTATCATACAAACTAGCCTTTGCTTTTGGTTTCTGTGTGGGCAGAAACGTTCTCTTTAAAAGAGTTTATTTCTTGACCTAACCTTTAGGTCATGATGATTTTCTTCCAAGAGAAAGGGTTATTTGATGCTTTACGATTTGGTTACTCTACAGCTGTTTGGAAACAGGTTTTAAACTTTAAAAAAACCCAAACCAGATCAGAATAAAGCAGGTTGAAACTGAACAGGGATATGCTGACAACAAAATGATGTGTAAAAGCCCTTGCATAGCTCAGTGGTCTTTTAGAGCCCAGACTCAGAAAAGCAATTCTGTGCAGCTTTTAATGGATGCTTAAATCCCATTCACTGTCACGTGTCCAGGATCCTTTAAAATACTCAGTGTTCTCAGCTCCTGCTAGTTCACAGAATTGAAGAACTCCTTTTACAGGATTGGACCATGGATGCTTTATGTAAGTCATGATGGGTGTTAGCTAAAATAGGAATAATAATTCCCAGAGCTAAAATGAGATGGCAATAAAGGAGATTAGCAATCCTTCCCTTTTTTGTATGGATCCAAAATACAAAGACACCATGTAGGATAGAAGCAAAAAGGAATTAACAGTATCTACTAAAATAATAAAAAACGTTTGTACTTGGTCAAACGAAATGTTTACCTCACCCAATATTCTGACTCCAACCATGAGTTTATGAAGAAGCCTGGGGAAGAATGAGACAGGACAAGTTGGCCATCAGCTGTTTCAGCTCAAGGAACTTGCTGGACTGGGTGTAATGTCTGAGTATTTAAAAATCCTTAATGTATTTCTTCTTCATTAACCTGTTTAATTCTCATTGAGTCTTTGCAAACATTTAACACCCACATCATCCTTTGGGAAGGGGTTTCATGGTTGTATGAAGAACCATCTCCTTTTACTTGCTTTGAACCGAGCTCCTACTAGCTTCATTTGACATCTTTTATTGGAAATCACTGTGAACAAAGCAAACACCATGTACTTCACTTGGACACTCAGGATGCTGTAGCTTTTGTTACGTTCCTCGTAGAGTTGTATGTCCTCAAGGTTGAGCTAGAGACAGAAGAGAATTCCATGTGGAAACCTCTATAGTTTCTGTCTCTGCCAACACCGATGCAGAGAGTTCTTTTAGCTTCTCTGCAATGCCCCTGTCTTCTCAGTGCTCCTTTATACTTTGATCACCAGTGGATGTAGCAGACTTCCTGCTCCTAATGTATTTGAAGTAAGATTTATTGTGAATTTTGATTTCTCTTTGTAGCTGTTCCTCAGACTCTCTTTTTGCCCTGCTTTATTGTGCTTTTGCCAAAGTTTGGAAACATGACTTAAGGTGGCTGGGTTAGGAAGAGAGCCAGTTTCCATAGCTTCTTTGATGTTGTTGGAGAGAAGTTCTTCCAAGAAGGTATTTCAGAGCAGGAACTAACTATGGTGTTCTGAAAAGCTTTTTTGGAAGAGCTTCCTCTTGCCACTGGCTGTGTAACAGCACATCTACCTTAGAATTTTATTTCGGAACACAAGGGTGCTTCTGAAGCACTGTACTGCACTGTATTTTGTATCGTGTTCTTGGAGCTCATGAACTGGACTTCTTTTGTAGAAAACTAAACTGGAAGATGTGTTCCAGAAGAGCAATGAGTGTGCTCTACCTTGGAGGATAAATTGGAAGAGAAGTGGGCAAGGGTTTAATTTAGTAACTCATCACTTCACTCTGAAAGGGCAAAGAGGGACTTGAGTAAGTCTATAAATCCTAGTTCTCCCTTGGAAAAAATATTGATGAAGTAGACAGCAAGGCTAAAACATACAAAATAAACCATGCCAAAATCCAACTAAGTCAAACAAGACGTGGGGAGTACCTCTGCTCAATTATGTTTTATTTTTGATGCGTATTGTCCTGTGTAGACCTAATGTAACTGAGAGTAAAGCTTGTTTCTGCATACTGGAGCAAATTCTTTTTTCCGGACCACTTCCCACTGTACCAAAAATCTGTCTTTAAGAGAAAATTATTGGCATAAATCTGAATATGCAAAGTGTGGTAAAGGCACAGGCTGAAAATAGAAATCTGGGTTGTTTTGGACAGATCTCATGGTCTGGAATTTGGAACTTGTCTTCTGGAAAATGGAACTTCCGAGAAAAGTGTCAGTAGTTTGGAAAATAGTCTGTCTTGGATGAGGATGAGAAGTAAAACCTCGGTATTTTCCACAGAAAAAAAAAAAAAAAAATGTTTCCAAAGCTCTGTTGCAGGCGAATTGCAATAAGAATGTTTTAATATGTCAAGTGCCCACTTGGAAGGCTGACAAAGGTTGGGCCTTCTTGGATACCCTTTTACACACTGGGTAGCTTGTCTCTGGTGTGGTAACGCAGGGAGTCTCTTGCCTCCACAGTTCCTCGGGAAAGTTGCAGAGCTGA